GGGCCTTGTCTGCTCTGAGGCAGGGAGTACCCCGTACCCCAAGATCCTGGGGAAGGACCTGCTGGAGGTGACTTTGTTGGGACTGATGAGGGCAGATCAAGAGAGACAGAAAATCACCATTTGGATTTGGTTAACTTGGGGTGGAGAGGGTGGGCAAGCACTCTGTACACAGTGCCTGCTCCTGGGGCCTGAGGTTCTCTCTTGTCCAGCCACAAATGCAGCCTGTCTGGAAGGCGGGACACCTCAGCTCTGGCCCAGCTCTGGCACTAACTTGATACCTGACCTCAGCAAGTCCCGCCCCTTCTTTGATCCTCAGTCTCCCTACCTGCAAAAGGAGGGTGGAACTAGACATTTTCTTTTTCTTTTTTTGGGGGGTTATAATATATTATTTCTTTTTTTTTTTAATTTCTTTTCAGCATAACAGTATTCATTGTTTTTGCACCACACCCAGTGCTCCATGCAATACGTGCCCTCCCCAATACTCACCACCTGGTTCCCCCAACCTCCCACCCCCCCGCCCCTTCAAAACCCTCAGGTTGTTTTTCAGGGTCCATAGTCTCTCATGGTTCACCTCCCCTTCCAATTTCCCTCAGCTCCCTTCTCCTCTCCATCTCCCCATGTCCTCCATGTTATTTGTTATGCTCCACAAATAAGGGAAACCATATGATACTTGACTCTCTCTGCTTGACTTATTTCACTCAGCATAACCTCTTCCAGTCCCGTCCATGTTGCTACAAAAGTTGGGTATTCATCCTTTCTGGTAGAAGCATAGTACTCCATAGTGTATATGGACCACATCTTCCTTATCCATTTGTCCGCTGAAGGGCATCTTGGTTCTTTCCACAGTTTGGCGACCAAGTTCATCATCACTAGCCATCAGGGAGATTCAAATTAAAACCACATTGAGATACCACCTTACACCAGTTAGAATGGCCAAAATTAGCAAGACAGGAAATAACATGTGTTGGAGGGGATGTGGAGAAAGGGGAACCTTCTTACACTGTTGGTGGGAATGCAAGTTGGTACAGCCACTTTGGAGAACAGTGTGAAGATTCCTCAAGAAATTAAAAATAGAGCTTCCCTATGACCCTGCAATTGCACTACTGGGTGTTTACCCCAAAGATACAGATGTAGTGAAAAGAAGGGCCATCTGTACCCCAATGTTTATAGCAGCAATGGCCACAGTTGCCAAGCTGTGGAAAGAACCAAGATGCCCTTTAATAGACATTTTCTTGATGGCTTCGGCTCTGGGTCCTGGCCTCTCTGCCCCCTCCCACCCTCACTGCTGGCTCAGGGCCACTGGAGGCAGAGTACAACATTGCTTGGAGATAAAGAGAGATGACTGAGAAAACAAACAGCCACAGGATCCCAGTTCCCAGATTTGGGTCCTGAGCCAGCCAGCCAGGCTCTTGTCACCGGGGCAGAACTCCCCAAGTCCCTTTCTCCTTTATTTGGCTGTATAAGGACAGAGGCTCCCTAACGCAGGTTACAGTCCTAAGGGCTCAGGGGAAAGCTGTGGCCTCTGAGGAGCTCGGTGACTAACCAGGGATGAGGAATAAATCAAATACCACTCACCACCTCCTCTGTGGCACAGCCCTCAGAGCCCAGAGTGGGGGCACCCGAGGAGAGATGCACTGTGAGAGGCCACTGGTGGCCTTCCCTAGACTCTAGGCCTATGGGAGCACTGCCCCACAGGTCGCCCTCATCTCTCTGGTCTCCCAGGCCCTGATGCCTGCCCTCAAGCCTCTCCTATCCAGCTGGCAACCATCTTTCCAGAACACAGCCCGCAGCCTCTTTCATCCAACCTACCCATTCAGAGCCCTTTGGATTTTTAACTCCCTTTCTGGATTCTTCCAGGAGATGGGCTCCACGGCTTTCCCTTCTCCTTCTCTTTCATGTGGTTCACTGCACTAGAGATGCTTCGGCCTCCATTTCACTCTCTGAGATACTCTCCATCCTAGGAGTTTATCTTAAACTCTACCTCCTCCAAGAAGCCCTCCGAGATGCCTCCTCCTCCTGACTGAGATGGCTTCCCCAAAGACCCACCATCTGCAGCTTGCTGAAGCACCTGGTTCAGTGATCATTTCTGTACTTGTCTGCCTTCTTGTCCAGCGTGGAATCTCTGGAAGGCAGAGCCAGAGCCTCATTCATAGACAGAGCCTAGCACAGCCCTGGAGTTCAGCCAGCACTCATCAAACTCTCAGATGAACCAAAGATAAGGCTCCCAGGATGGTGGGGGGAAGGGGGTGACCAGCACCCTGGGCTCTCCCCCAGGGAAAGGGACCACTGAAAAAGCCAAGTAAGACCCACACAAATCTACAGTAGGAGTCAAAAGACCAGAGAAGCACAGTTCATGGACTATGGAGTCACATCAACCTGGGTTCGAATCTTACCTCTGTCACTTACTCACTGTGTGACTATGGGCAGATTACAGAACTTGCCTGGGCATTAGTGTCCTCATCTACAACACAGAGGGGGTTATCATGCCCACTCACAGAGAGTCCTGGAGAGCATTCAATGAGATAATGGATACATGGTACCACCTCAGTAAATTAGCTCTTAGAATACTGTGTGAACTCTCTAGGTCACCTTTGGAGTAATTATGAAAGTTCACAACCTCATAGTTGACATCTGTCATTTACTTAGAAGTAGAAATTCTTTTGATCCCATTTTGTAGGTGAGGAAACTGAGGCTCAGGAAAGTAAGCATGCTCACACTGGGTGTTCAGTGAGGGGGAGGGTGCCGGTCAGCACTGGCTCTGACCCTGGGCTCAGCCAAGGTGGACAACAGCAAGAGGGAAGGTAGGCAGCTCACGCTCTGTCAGCTGTCATCACAAGGACCCAAGGCCAGTGCTCTGGGTCACTTCTGGCCAACATTCTGCCCCAGGAGTCAGGTTTCAGCTAATGCTGGGTAGCCCCTGACTCCCTGCCCAGCCAGGCTTGGAGTCACACGAATAGCCAATCCCAGGCCTTGGTCCAGGGCTGCTGCTAAGCCTGCTGCATGCCTTTGTTCCAGTGGCTCTGCCTCTCTTGCCTGCAATAAAGCAGGATCAGCAGTGGCAGAAAGAGAGGGAATGGGGAGGGGCTGGGAATGGGTAATGTGGCAGCAGCCATTGGCATGTGAGAGATGCAGGAGTCCAGTGTAGCAAATTCACATGACAGGGCTGCTGCTCTTTATATGAATTAGAAAAAAGTACCATCTCTGGCTGAACCAAGCCCCATACCAAGGCTTGGAGAGTAGGGTGTGGGTTGGATTTTGCCCCGTCTCCTGTGCAGTGAACAACATACACAACCACCCAGGGCAGCCCTGCTTACCAATCACCACTGATGGGCCAAGTTCTGAGCCGGGCACTGAAATAAAGAGATGGCTCAAATACAGCACCAGCTTCTGAGAAGCTCATGGGAAGCCGAAGTGCTAGGAGAACACAGTGGGGATCACTTAACTCTTTCTGGGGAAAGGGTTAGAGGCTCTAAGGTAAGCTAATGGGAGAAAGTAGCGATAGGCAGGCTCTCAAAAAAAAAAAAAAAAGTTGAATTTGTAGTGTTTGTTAATTTCCATAGTGTAAACGTTCCCACCAGGAGTGATTTCAAGTTACCAGCGTGATATCACTGAGGTGGAGTGTGGAGAGATGCCTACAATCAGCTCTGGCAAGCAGGTTCTAGAACACCACTTGGGGAGAGGATTCAACTGAATCTAGAAGGTAGAGGAGGGATTCTCCAGGCTGAGAAGGAGTAGGGGCGGGAGAGGACATTCTAGAAGGAGAGAACCAAGAGCGAAGACGTGGAGGTGCACAAGTAAAGGGTTATCAAGGGGTTAGGGTTGGGAAGGGCTGACCAGTCTTTGGGAGCCTGGTAATGCTTTAGTTCTGGACTCACACAGGGGCACGTGCCCACCATAATTCATTAAGCTGCCCACTGAAGTTTTGTGCACTTTTCCATATGTGTGTGATATTTTACAATAAAGATCTCATTCAGGGATATATCGCTGTTTATACTTTTGTTGTATTTCCTTCCAATCTTTTTTTCCCATGCACGTATTTATACAACCATCTGGCAAACACTGTCAGGTAGGAAAACAAAAGTTCCCTATCCAGAGCCCCTAAAGAAGAAAGCATTTTAACATCAAAAGCAATGTGGTGTCACGGAAAGAGTGTGGTCTCTGGAGTCACAGAGACCTGAATTCAAATTCTGCTTCCCAAAGTGCTAAGTGACTGGTGCTAAGAAAGTGGCTTGTCTTAGCCTGTCTGGCTGCTTCTCTTCTGCAGACTGAGTTACATAATACCCACATCCTGCAGGGTGGTCGGGCAGGTCAGAGATGTGTGTAAGGTGCGTCACACAGAACCCAGCCCACCAGAGACCCTTAACACAGGCGACATGTAAGATATTGTAGCCAGCATCATCTTAGAAAGTCAGAGCTGGAAGAGCTGCTCTGATAATAAATGACTGAACCCCAGAAGCTACAGAGAAATGGTAACCCCATAAGGTGAAAATCAAACTAGTATTTGCCCAGAGAATAAACGTGACGGTAATGAGACTGACTCAGAAGCCCACTGAGTGGGGTGGGGAAAATGTTTGAAGAAAACAGGGATAGTTAGCCTGGTGGGGAAGACTCTAGTGGTTTATAATATCTGTGCCCCAGATGAGGCCCACGTGCAGCAGAGAAGAGAATTAAGCCCAATAAACATGACTTGCAGGAAGCTGATTTCGACTGGATATGGGGAGGGATAGTCTCACTAAGAACCGGAGGGGTGATCTAGGAAAGGAGTGAGCTCCCATCACTAGGGGTATAGAAGCAGAAGCTGGCAGAGCACTTAAAGGGCATGATGAAGAAGGAAGATGAGCATGGTGGAGGGTGGGGACCAATGACCTTTGGGGTGCCTTGAAGCTGGGCCCTGGATCTGTGCCGTCCAGCAGCATCTAGCCATCCCTCAGTACAAGGGCAAGGGTAGAACCATGAGCATCCCGCAGGGAAGGACACAAAGAGACCTTTGTGCATCTAACCTGGTTATCGATTTTCAATTCCACTAGAGAAGTGTTGTATGGAAGAGCTTCCACCAGGCGCAGGATCCCGGCTCCAGAAATGAAGTTGGATTCCACGTTCAGCGTCTTCAATGCCTTATTGACCTTGAGCATCTCCGCAAGGGCCTTGAAGCATGGGAGAAAAACAAGGGTATCTGTGAGTCACCATGAGCAAGGCTGGAGACCCTCTAGGGTAGAACCTAAAGTACCGAGAGGGCCTTGCTGGGAGTGAGCGTTCCTTGCACACTCATGCTGCTCGAGCCAGGGACCAGGCAAGACAATCTCTACAACTCCCTTCACAAAGCACAACTCCCGTGTCTCTCCTCCCCTCCAATGCGACATGGCTCCCAAACCTCTAACTGGAGAATTCTACATTCCTTAGCCTGCATCATCCTCGAACATCTGGTTCTCCTCCCTTGCCTGGCCTCAAGTCTCATTGCTCCCTTATGGCGGGGCTGATCTTAGCTGCCTGTGCATGCCTGGTGCTCTCCCACTGCTTTGCCTTTGCTCATCCTGTCCCTGCTGCCTGGGATGCCCTTTCCTTTCCATTTTGTCCAAACCCTGCCCGTCCTTCAAGGTCATTCTCAATTCCTCTCTAGGAGCCTTTATACTGATGGCCCCAGCTAACTGAGGCCTGACCTCTTGCACTTTGTAGAATTTATCCGTAACTTCCCTCATTCCTCTGAACGTGTATTCCTCTGTTCAGAGTTGTTTTTATACTGGTGTTGTCTCTGCCACCAGACTCTCTACTCTTGGTGGGATGAAAATGCATCTTATTCATCCCAGGGTGCCCATGTGCTCAGCACACAATAGGTTCTCGGTCATAGTTCACTGAGTGACTAAAGGAGTCCCAACCTCCTTATGTATCCTCCACTTGTCGCTTCTATTTCCCTGTTGAGGTTCCATGCAGTCATTGTTCTCTTCATCTGAGCAGCAGAGAGCACAGAAGGATGCCTGGGAAACCACCCCACTGGGCAAGTGACCAGGGCAAATGGGAGGAGAGGAGCTCAGGTGGCCCCCAGCACGTTTCAGAGGAATTCAGCCAATGGGGTGTAGATGACAATCAGAGCCTCTGAAGGAAATGAGGTAATTAGCAGTTGGTGGAAACGATGTGTCATGGAGGAAAGGGGACACCAGCAGCTGGTAGCCCAGGATGTGCCATCAGTGGGCCCTGGTTGTCTGAAACGACTCTCTGAGCCAGGAATGCCCTTCCCACAATCCATGCTTACTGAAACCCTACACAAGCTCAGCGCCCAGAAAGCCTTCCTTGTTGAAATCATCCTTCCCTCCTCCCCCTGCTTCCATGTGCCCCCAGAATGGCATGCTGGCTTTCTCTCAGACCCTGAGGATGTTGGACACTCCTGAGGAGAGGGCCACAGGCTGTGTTCTTTCCACAGAATCTCTCTTGCTCCCCAGAGAAGACCTGTCCAGGTCTGATAATCAAAATATTTAATAACTGATAGGCAAGTGCCCCAGACCAATCCAAGGTGGTGGCTGAGCAGGTCCCAGAGACCTTGTCATGCCAGGTGTCAGCTCTTTCCTGGATCATGGTAGAGGAATGGGGGTACAGGGAGAGGAGCTGGGGCAGGGAGTGGGGGCGCTCACAGAACTTTTCACTCATCTGTAGAATTTAAGTAACAAATGAACAAAGGAAAAAAAGAGACACACATGAAAATAGACTCTTAAATACAGAGAACTGGTGGTTGCCAGAGGGGAGGTTGGTGGGAGGATGGGTGAAATGGATAAGGGAGATTAAGAGTACACTTATCCTGATGAGCACTGGGAAATGAAGAGAAATGTTGAATCATTATATTGAACACCTGAAACTATTATAACATTATTTATACTTCAATTAAAAAATTAAATTTTTAAAAGAATTGATTGCTACTCAATAGACTTCAAAGCCAGGAAAGTTGTTAGGGATAAAAAGGGCATTACAGAATGGCAAAGGGGTCAGTTCTCCAAGAAGACATAACAATCCTTAATGTATAGGTGCCCAGCAACAGAGGGTCAAGCTATAAGGGGCGAAAGTTGATAGAACTGCAAGGAGAAAGATGAATCACTGCTAGAGTTGGAGATTTTAATAGCCCTCTATCAGGGATGGAAAGATCCAGAAGGTTGAAAATCAGTAGGGATGTAATTGAACTCAACAACGCCATCAATCAACTGGATAGAAGTGACACTTAAATGCTACTTTATCCTACAACAGCAGAATACACGTTCTTCTCAAGTTCACACGGAACATTCACAAGATAGATCACATTCTGGGCCATGGAACATACCTTAACAAATTTACAAGAAACAAAATCATACAACATCTGCTCTCAGAGCTCCATGACATTGAGCTACAAATCAGTAACAGAAAGATAACTTTGAAAATCTACAAATATTGCGTGGTGATTAAACAACACGTTTCTAAATAACATGTAGGGCAAAAAAGAAACCTTAAGAGAAATAAATAAAAACATACCTTATTAAAGTTTGTGGGATGCAGTGGAAATAGAACTTAGAGGGAAATGTCTAGTATTGAATGCATAGATTTAAAAAAAATCTAAATTCAATAATCCAAGTTTCCATTTTAGAAAACTTTTAGAAGAGCAAAATAATCCAAAGTAAGGAGAAGAAAATAAATAAGAATTAGAATAGAAATCAATGAAGCAGGAACCAGATGAATAGAGAAAATCAGTGAAGTGAAAGGTTGATTCTTTGAAAAGATCAATAAAATCGATAAGCCTTAAGCCAGGCTAAGAAAAGAGAGAGAGAGAGAGACAAATTACTAATATCAGAAATGAAAGAGGCCCATTACTACAGATCCCATGGGAATTGAGAAGATAATAAAGGAAAATTGTGAACAATTCTTATGTCCACAGATTTGATAACCTCGATGAAATGGACTAATTCCTTGAAAGATACAGTTTGTCAAAGCTCGCATAAGAAGAAATAGATAATCTGAGTAGGCCTATACCTATTAAAGAAATAGAATCAATAATTAATAACCTTCTAAAACAGAAATCACCAGGCCCACAGAGTGAATTCTACCAAATATTTTTTTAAAATTTATTTTTATTTATTTATTTGACAGAGAGAGAGATCACAAGTAGGCAGAGAGGCAGGCAGAGAGAAGAGAGAAGCAGGCCCTCTGCCGAGCAGAGAGCCCGATGTGGGGCTTGATTCCAGGACCCTGAGATCATGACCTGAGCTGAAGGCAGAGGCTTAACCCACTGAGCCACCCAGGCGCCCCCTACCAAATATTTAAGGAAGAAATGATACCAGTTCTCTACAATCTCTTTCAGAGAATGGAAGCAGAGGGAATACTTCCTAACTCATTCTATGAGGCCAGCATTATCCTAATACCAAAACAAAGACATTACAGGAAAACTACAGACCAATATCTCTCATGAACATAGATGCAAAAATCCTCAAAAATATAGCAACTTGAATTTAACAATGTATAAAAAGGTTATACACTGTGACCAGTGAGATTTATCCCAGGTATGCAAGGCTTGCTCAACATTTGAAAAACAATTAATGTAACCCATCACAACAACAGGCTAAAAAAGAAAAGTTACATGATTGTAACAATAGATACAGAAAAAGCATTTGACAAAATCCAACACCCATTCATAATAAAAACTCTCGGTAGATTAGAAATAGATGGGAACTTCCTCAACTTGGTAAAGAGTATCGACAAGAAACCTACAGTTAACATCATGCTTAATGGTAAGAGACTCGAAATATTATTACTAAGATTAGGTACAAGGCAAGGATGAACCCACTCACCACTCCTTTTCAACATCAGAATAGAAGTTCTAGCTAATGCAATAGGCAGAAAAAGGAAATCAAATATATAAATCAAATATATATATATATATATATATGAAAGGAAGAAAGAAAACTGTTTGCAGCTGATATGACTGTCTTTGTAGAAAATCTGAAAGAACTGACCAAAAAAAAAAAAAAAAAAAACCCTCCTGGAACTAATCAATGATTATAGCAGGATATAAGATTGACATAAAAATTAACCACTTTCCTATATTCTAGGAAGGAACAAGTGGAATAGGAAATTAAAAACACCACACCATTTACATTAGTACCCTCAAAAGTGAAATACTTAGGTCTAGAGCTAACAAAATATGTAGAAGATCTATATGAGAAAAGCTATAAAACTCTGATGTATAAAAATCAAAGAACTAAATAAATAGATACTCCAGGGTGCCTGGGTGGCTCAGTTGGTTAAGCAACTGCCTTCGGCTCGGGTCATGATCCCAGGGTCCTGGGACTAAGTCCACATCCGGCTCCCTGCTCAGTGGAAAGCCTGCTTCTCCCTCTCCCTCTGCCTGCTGCTCTGCCTATGTGTGCTCTGTCTCTCTCTATCTGTCAAATAAATAAATAAATTCTTTAAAAAAATAGATATTCCATGTTCATGGATAAGAAGACTCAATACTGTCAAGATACCAGTTCTTCCCTCCTTGATCTACAAGTTCAGTGCAACCCCAGTCAAAATTCCTGCAAGTTATTTTGTGGATATTAACAAACTGCTACTAAATGATTAACTGCCATCTTTGGTAAGCTAATTCTTGCACTTTTAACCTATTAGTGTTGTAATAATCATACTATACTGTGAGGCTTTAGTTGTCTGCATGGCCAAATGGACTGTTATATTCATGAAAGTGGGAGCTATAGGGGCACTTCGGTGGCTTAGTTGGTTAAGCATCTGCCTTTGGCTCAAGTCATTATCTCAGGGTCCAGGGATCGACCCCCATGTTGGATTCCCTGCCCAGCAGAGAGCCTGATTTTCCCTCTCCCTCTGCCTGCTGCTCTCCCTGCTTGTGCTCTCATCTCTCTCTCTCTCTCTCAGGTAAATAATAAATAAAAAAAATAATAAAAAAAAAAGAAGGTGGGAGCTATGACTGTCGGTCACCGTTATATTCTCAGAGCCTAATTCGGTTCTGGACACAGACAGACTCTCAATAAATATGTTTGAATATTTAACAGAAAAGAAAAAAAGAATTGTTGGCTACTTTATAATAAATACAATTTAATTTGATCAGCAATATCTTTATGACTTGGGCAAAAAGAAACAAATAAAATTGGTCATCAGGACCCACTGAGTAAGACCACGATTTTGGATATAGAGGAACTGAAGCCCAGGGAGGGGCAGGTACTTCTCCAATGCGGTGTGCTGAGTAGGGACAGATCTGCTTTAGAACCAACATGACTTGCATCTAAATCTTAGCTCCACTTCTCACTTGCTGTGCAACTTTGGACAAAGAGAAATGCCTGAACTCCCTGCACCCCAGGTTCTTTGTCAGCAAAGTGGGGAGACCTTCATCCATGAGATCAGGGGTGACTGTGGATGTTAACTAGCATAATGTACAGATGTTGCCTGGATAACGGCACTTGTGTTCACATCGTCTCCTGGCTCCTGGCCCATTGCCTTTCATTGTACCACACAGGGTTCTTCCTCAGTGGGGTTCAGCCAGTCCTGGGGCCATAAGCATCCATCCTTCTGTTTCTAGCCCCCCAGTTTCAATGCAGCGGAACTGAAATGTACATACATGTGCCACGGGGTCATTGCTCCGTGTTCCCACGATGCTGAACTTCTTCACATATGAGTTCTCTTTCAGGGCTTCGGCATAGGCCTTGAGAGTGGGAATGGGGATGTTCTGCAGAGAGAGAGGCAGGTGGTGAGGAGCAGCCCCCACCAGGGTCAGGCTGGGAAGACAGATGGTGCAGTAACCCTCTCACACATGCAGCCTGATTCCTAGTAGGTCTCTGACCAGATCACTGGATAGACAAAGAGTTCCTGCTTTGCCCCCAAAGGCTGAGATCTGGAGAGAACTCTCAGGTAAACAGATTGAGAAAACTGTCCCTGACAATTTCAGGGAGGACCCACAATTCTCTGTGCAGGTGGAGACCAGAGAAGGAAACATCAAGGCAAAGGATGCAGAGGAGTGCTGTGCCGGGGGCTCGGGACTGGGGTGTGGGAGTGGGCAGGGCCTCGGCCTCTGCCTGGACAACTGGCAATGCTTATGACAGTCTGACACTGGGCAAAGTCTCCTCTCTCTCTAGGCCTGTTTTTGGAAAACCAGGGTCGGGGGCTGGACACTGCCCTAGATGATCTCTAGGAGACATCTGTCCCGCCAGGTCTCAGCTGTACCTCACAACAGAGGCTCCTGGGGAACTTTTGTAAACTGCTGATGCATGGGTGTGGACCAGACCAATAAATTCAGAATCCCAGGGGGGTGGCTTTGGCATAGATTTCTTAATCTTCTCAGGGGAAAACCACTGATCTGGTCCAAATTTTTCACATGCGGAAGGGAAACTGAGGCCTGGAGAGGGACGAGCCTGTGGGCCCACGGTGAAGGCGCACAGCCGTGGCCGGGTTCCACACCCCTGCGCCGCTCTGAGCCAGGGTTACCTGCCAGGGTACAGAGTGCTGAGCTGTGCCAGGGCCTCCCACTGGGCACATGGCAGACAATGGAGGCACCCGAGAGAAAACCTGGCTGTGTTTGCAGGATCTCTCGTTTCAGAGTGTCATGTTAGCTCCCCGTGGGAGCAGAGCCTGGGGAGACCAGGTGGAGGAGAACACTGCAGGTGCAGGTTTCTAATCAGATTAGGCTGTGGGGCTGGCAGCCGCTTAAAAGAAAATGGAGAAGAAAGGAAAGAGGAGCTGGGGAGCAGGGGCGGGGGGCCCACTTCTTATCTTACCCACACACCCTCCCAGAACTAATCCCGCCGGGCTCCGGGCTAAGCAGGTGGGCAGGCAGCTGGTTCCGCTCCTGAATTCCTCCTGCAGCCCGTCCAGGGTCAGAGGCTTGTCCATCGGACCCTCCTCTGCCCTTGGTGGTCACACAGGCGACATCTGGTCAGGCTGAACACAGGGGCTGACAGCTCCCTGCCAGGGCTGCAGAACGAGACTGACCACACGGATGATGGCGTGCGGATGGTTCAGGGCCAGCCCCTCCCAGGGCTGTGGGACCCCATTCATCTGCTGGGCGCAGACTTTTTCTAGCCTTAGGATCCCTGGCAGTCAGGTGTCTGACTTATGATTTTAGCTCAGCGAAGCTCTCAGTGTTTCGAATAACAAGGCAGGTTTCCAGAATCGAAAGTGTGTTGGCCTATGGTGAACACCAGGGCCTGAAGAAACCAGGGCCATAGGATGTGTTTGCTTACACCGCCCAGGCCTTTGAGAGGGTTTGCTCCCTTCCTGATCTGGAAGCACCCAGAACCCAAACAGGTCCCTGTTCTCTCCATACAGCCAAGCCTGGGCACACACATGGGCTCCTCCCACCCGCCCCAGGTGAAGGGAAATCAAAAGGCCTTTACCCGGATGTTGTTGAGGTTAACCTCCTCAAGTTTGGGGTCATTGTTCTTTATCCGCTCCAGGGTTTCCTCTACATCTGTTGAATTTGGCTCTTCATCAGGCACAGGTTTGTATTGTGTGGGTTTGATCACGCCTAGAGGGACGGACAGAAGAGAGGTGGCTCACAGGAACACAGGGAGCCTCTCCCTCCACAGGATTCTCTGGAAGGAAGCAGCAGCAGAGTTCAGCCCCAAGAAAAGGCCGCACATTCGGGGGCGTCAGCAGAGGTGGGGAGACACGCTGACCGTGCCCTGCTTGGACTCCACCTTTGAGTCCTACATGCCCGGGGTGAATGACTGAAACCCTCTGACCCTCCGTGTCCTCCTCTGTAAGGTGTCAGACAGTTGCTCTACCTCAGTGGACTCTTGTGAGGATAAAATGAAGCCTGAACGTGAGAGAAACGTATAAGCTTTCCAGAGAGAGGGTCAGTATTCTTCTGGCACCCTCACTGATTTGGGGGGTCAAAAGGCCAGCTAGGGACGATGCAGGGGAGCAGGAAGAATAATACAGTATGGTCCCAGGAAAGGACAAGGGGAGTCGAGGAACAAAAGAGGCCCCAGGAGACAGGCACGTGTGGACGTGTAGAAATTCATGATCGTGACGGAGTCCCAGGCCAGCGGTGGAGGGACGGATTTCGCAAAGAACAGTGTTGTCCCCGTGGGAGAGGCATGAAAAGTGACCGTTTGATCTCCTCTCACACCGCACCCAAACACAGACCCAGGTGGAGTAAGAAGTGGGATACGAGAGGCGAACCTCTAACACTCTCAGGAGACACTGCAGGAGGACATTTTTGCCACATGAGGACGGAGAAGTCCTGCACAAGCAAGACACAAATCCCAGCGAAGGTGAAGGAAAAGGTGGATAGATTTGGCTACGTCAAAATTTTAAAATGTCTGCAATGAGCCAAAGAGCATGAGTGGGCAGAGGAAGCAAGAAGCCGCGGACGCCTTCACTTCCGGGGCGTCCTTGCTCGGGGAGGGGGGAGGGGGGCAAAGCTGGGGATGAGGGCGGTGTACTCACTGTTGAGTCCCTCCTTGTTCACGATGGAGCTGCTGCCCAAGGCCTGGTAGTACTGTTGGTTGCTCATGAGCGTGTGCATGCCCAGGATAGCTGCGGGGACACGGGGAGCGCCATGACTCTCCTCTCTCCCACAGAAGAGCCCCCGGATCACGGATGTCCCACACCCCTGGCATTTTTGCTCATGGAAATGGCAAGAAACACTTGCATGGTTTTAAATTTTACTTGATTTTTGCTCTCGTCTCTATTTATGTGACGTTCAGATCTCTACACCCAGCAGAGACTTTTCCAGCCCCGGCCTCAGATTCCTAGGTGTCTCCCAGTGTTCCACGGGTACCTCCAGCCCAACTTGGCCAAAAGAGAGCTCGTCCTTCCCAGCAACGGCCCCTTCCTTTGAATCACCTTCTGTCTTGTCACCCTGCCTGTCCCCTCAGTGTGGACCCTCGGTTGCATGGCATGCCCTAAGTCCCCTCCCTCCGAACACTGTCTCTCATCTGTCCCACCTCCCATTCTGTCTCCTCTGTGCTGGCTGAGGCCCTACTATTCTGCAGCTGTGTTATCACAGCCGTGTAATCACTGCTGTCCTGGCCCCGGTCTCTTCCTACCCTCCCCCCACCAGCATTCATTACAGAGCAGCCAGAAAGATCCTTCTGGAAGTGCAGATCTGACCACATCACTCCTGTGCTCAGTCGGGCTTTCATCCATTCGTTTGTTCAACATTTATTGAGTGCCCACATCATATGCCTGGCTCTGGGTGGGGTGGTGCTGGAGGGGGTAGAAGAATGGGGTGGGGCTGGGAGGGAGTGGGGCTGTGTGTGGGAGGCAGCAAGGAACAGCAAAGTCTGTTGGGGGAGAGAGATGTTAGGCAGGTACCTGCACAATTGAAAACATAAGCACAGAGTATACGTGTTGTAGAGGAAAAGTTCAGTTGTTTTGGGAGAACTGAATGGAGGGACTTGGGATAGGAGGGATGAGTAGTGTCGGCCAAGTCAAGAGAAAGGAGTGGGGGCATTCTGGACAGGCAGAGGGAATGGTGGGTGGGAAAGCCCTCAAGCTCAGGGAGTGGAAGCCTAGGGCAGGAAGGGGAAACAGAAGGTGGACGGAGCTGAGCTGGACGCATGGTGGACCTCCCCCATCCCCCCACTCACTGCACGCTTGCTCAGGGCCAGAGAGTATGGTAAATGTCAGTGATTCTCAGTTCAGCTGCACATTGGAATCCCTGGGGCATCTTTTCAAACACCTGAAGCCCAGGCCTACCCCAGACCCATTAGACCACCATCTCTAGGGGTGAAGTCAAGCCTCTGCCTTTTTCAAGGCTCCCTAAGTAGATTCAGGGGGCAGCCAAGCTGGGAAACTGCCTGACACCACCCCCACACCGAATCCTCACAATATCACTCTGGAGTAGATTTAATTCAAACAGGCACATTTCGATCCCACAGGGTCTTCTAGATTGCAGTAAGGGGTTTGTGTGTCTTTCCCCAGGAGCAGCTGAGAAGCCACTGGAGACCTCGGCAGGGACCGAGATGTCCTGACTTGGGTCCTGGGAGTATCACTCTGGCTGTGTGTGCAGAATGGACTACAGAGGGAGGGAAGGATGTGGGGACCGTGAGGTTTTGCAGCCACCCAGGTCGGAGGATGGTAGCTTGTGACCCTGGAGCCTGGCTTCACCAGCCCTCCATGGGCCAGCCGCTTCAACGGCCTGTCTCTCACCCACACCGTTTCTGCTCTGGTGATACAAATGGTCACAGCTCAGTACATTCTCCCGCTTCTGTCAACACTGTCCCCTCTACTGGTGGTGAGTCTCCCTCCATCTGCCATGTGTGCTGCTAAAATGCCCCCAGTAGTGTTGTTAGATATAGCAAATGAACATACGGGATACTCAGTTAAATTGGAATTTCAGATAAGCAACGAATAATATTTTAGTATAAGTATGTCCCATTCCGTATTTGGGATCTACTTATATTAAAAATTATTCATTGTTGATCTGAAATTCAGATCCAACTGAGCATCCTGTATTTGTGTATTTGACCCAGCAACTCTACCTTCCCATCCTTCAGGACTTGGAGTAACACTTCTTCCCTCATGGAGGCTTCTGGAATTCTCTCTCTCCCTCTCTAGTTCTCCCACTGCACCTGCCGTCCATATCCTAGCATGGACCACACAGCGTTAGAGGTAGCTGGACGCATGTGTGCTTCCTCTACTGGACGTTGGGCTTCCAGAGGTCGGGGAAGAATAGTCTCTCTTCCTTCTCCTCCAGAGTATAGTGTTTAGTAAATATTTGCTGATCCATTTTAATTCCCCTGGCCATTTCATTAGACATGATTTCTAGTGAGAGAGACTACATGAGAGTCCTTGGTGAGGAGTCAGGAGACCTGAGTTAATCCTGACTCTACCCCTGATTCTGTGTGACCTGGGGCATGTCCCCAGCCCTCTCTGGACTTTAGCCTCTTCTGTGCGAGGAAGGGCAAAACAAGCCCTTTGGTTCTCTACCCCAGCTGCACATACAAATAACCCGCAGCTTCAAGACAATATTGGTGCTCCTCCTGGACCAGCCGATCTGAATCTCTGCAGATATATTTTTAATCCCCTTGCATGATTTTTGATGCTCAGTGGGGGCTGAGAACCACAGGATGAGCTGATCTCAAAGCCCTTCTGTTTCTCACATTCTAAGAATCTTCTCTGCTAAAATTAGACTCTCCTGTTCATCACGGAGTACTTATAGGGAGAGGCATCTGCATTTTTTAGAGCTCTCCAGGCTTTAATTTAGGCTGCTTCTACGTGGGCAGTGGGGGCCAAGGCCTGAGTCAGCAGCCGGGAAGGTGGGGAGTTGGCTCACCGGGAGCCACCTTTTGGAGCTGGCTCTTTCCCATCCCAAAATGGGCTGGTGGCGGGTGGTGGCTTATGGTGATTCTGGGCTGCAGCTGGGACCCCAGTTTGGAAAAAAAATTCGGAAAGGTTGCTAAGAATCAGAGCAAAGATGTGACATCATATGGCTGGCTGGTCTTGCTGAGAGGTATAGAGAGGTGGGGGATGGAAAATGCCCTTTGTGTTTCATGCCAGCTTCCTATAATGGTCCAGAAAGGGGGGCAGGAAGGGTACAAGGAAGTGGCTGGGGACAGAAGGAAGAGACCTGGGCTCCAGGCTGGGTTTTGGCACCAATTTGGCACCAAAATGTCCAGGACATTTCCACTTTTTTGGGCCTCAGTCATGTCACCTAAAAAAGGGAGTATGTTTAAATGCCAATCTCTTACCCTCACATAGCACCTAATAGTCACATAACATCTTATCTCTTTTATAAAAAATTATGTTCAGTTAGCCAGTATACAGTACATCGTTAGTTTCTGATGTAGTGTTCAACGATTCCTTAGTTATGTATAACATCTCATCTTTTTATCCCATTTGATTTTTATAACAAGCCCCCAGCCAGGGTCTCTGGTTTTCCAGCAGACTCGAGAGGGAAATGGCTTGTCAAATCCTGCTCAGTGAGGGCTCTCCTGGCTTCTGAGACCTCCCATCCACTCCTCCACAAACTAGGTCATCAGCAGTTCCAAAGTTCTAAACTGGCCCCTCCATGCCAGAATTCTAAGGACAGATAACACGCCTATTCTGGGAGGCACCAGACATGTCAATACCAGTTCTCAGAAGAAATGAAACTATTTGCAGTTCAGAGGAAGTTAGGATTTGAGGAAGGAAGGAAGGAAGGAAGGGAGAGGGAGGGAAGGAAGAAAGGAAGTGAGGGAAAGAAGAAAGGGAGGAAGGGAAGGAAGAAAGGGAGGGAGGGAAAGACCCAAGGAAGGGAGGGAGAGAGGAGAGGGGAAGGACTTGGGGCAGGGGCTGGGGGGCATGCACCACACAAAATCTCCATTGCTGAGCAGAAAGCAGAGCTTGGTGGCTCGAATCCTTTGGCCTGCCCCAGGCACCTAATCACAGCTCTCCCCTTGTTTGGTTTTGCACACTCATGTCGCCACAAGTGAATGATGGAGGAAAATAGCACATCACCATTGCCTGCCACTTCATTCCTCGTAGATATTGGCACAGCTGAATTTAGCACTGGGAAACATGACTTTTTTTTTTTTTTTAAGACCAGATCTTCCTCAAAACTGAAAAAGGACTATTTTTGAACTCTGAAAAAGAACATCGAGTTCTCTTTCCTCTTCTGCCTTGGCAGGGTTCACTCGGTTTGTAATTCCACTTAGGATGCAGAGAGATCACAGCACATATCCCGGGCCCCTCCAGCTGCCAACTGCTTGGCCGGCCCCGGGCAGACAGCGGGAAGGCGTTTTCCTGCATCACAGAAACAGGTGGGAGAAGCCAGCTTTGGCCCAGAACTTGGGTGCCGTCAAACCACTTCTAGATAAGCCACACCCTGACCCTGGCAGAATGTGAGGAAAACCAGTGCCCAAGGATGTGTGAAGACCCCAGAAGCTCAGGGTGGGCGGCCAAGACTGTCTCTGAGAATCACAGGAGCTGGGGGTACCAACTGCCCATGGTGGCGGCTGGGGACTGGGCCTTCTGGAGGGAGAGTCTCTTCCAGGCCGATTCCCTTTGGAGTCTGGCCGCACCTGAAGGTGAGTCAAGATCGCATTCCAGATGGGGCAGGGGGCACTGATAATGCCAAGGGCTTGCCACGGACTCCCAGTGGCCTCTGCATTACAAGCCGAGGCCACAAGCCAAGAACTCAGCACTGTCAGGGGCTTGCCCCTTCTGCTCATTACCCTGCGGTCACACTTCTCACATTGAAATTTATATGCTTCTGGTCTGTCTTCCTCCTCACCTCCTGGGTCCCCCAAGGGCAGGGCCTGGATCTGATGCGTCCGAGCACACAGTAGCTTGATGATCCCCGTGGACTCCGCGTGCGAATGAATGCAGGCACAAATGGTGCACAGACACGAAAACAAACGAACAAACGGGAGTCCCCAGCTCTGCCTTCCCTAGGCCACACTCGAGTCAGGACGACACATCTGCTGGGTGTCTCTCTACATCTTCCTGTCACCGCCGAACGTCAAGCCTGCCACCTGCGTGCCAAGCAAGCCGCGCGGAGGGGCTCAGAGCCTCGCTCCTGCTGTGTGCCAGCCTGGGACATGTCTCCCCCATCCCCCCACCCCCCCCAGCTCACCCCTGCTCTTCCTCCTTGGGGCTCAGCTTCAGCCTCTACCTTCATGTCCCCTGGCGCCAGCACCTAACCAAGCCCCCTTCTTGCTCCCTGACCTTTCTCAGGATGACACTCACTCTCATCTGTCACTTATTGGCCTAAGTATTTGCTGAACGTCAGCTCTGCGAGGGCAAGGACTAGCCGTCCCTGCACGCCGTTCTACCAGGGCTCGCCTGGAGCCGGGCGCACAGTGGGACGACGCTGGATAAATGGTGGCCGAGTATGTGAATATGAGGGACCAAAACTAAGCCAATGGAAGGCTCTGCCTGGGAGCCACGTCCCCAACACCAGAGATGTCCCGCAGACCGTATGCCCTCTTCTCCTTACTTTCCTTTCTCTGCTGGGTCACCCACACTCATGGCTCCAGCAACCCCATCCTTGAGAAGGGATCTGAACCCCTGGCTTGCCACACCAGACACTCACGTAAGCTCCCGCCTCTACCTCCTGTGGCCTCTTGGCCTCTTGGCCTCAGGTCCAGTGCTAGGACAGCTGCACGTCAGACACAGTCCCCAGCTCTACCTTAGCCCTTGACCTTACCTGGGGCCAGCCTCCTCCATCCCTCCGTCCTCCAAACACCACCACCTTTGCCTAAGCCTCTGCTTTCATCTGGCCTCTCCCAACAGTCCCCATGGTCCCATGGATCCTTAAGGGTCAATGCCTTCCTGTGACATACAGAGACTTTCCTAATGTGGCCCCACCCTCCCCCCACTGGGCTCCATGGGGCGTGGGGGTGAATCCCCTCTTGCCCACCCTCTGTGTCCCCTCAGAGGACGGCTTCATCTGCATGGTGGTGGCTGGTGCTCTCTGGAGGAGAAGTGTGCCCTCTGGGGAAGCTGCCTGTGTTCAAGCCCCATAGGCAAAGCATTCAATGTCACTGCCTCCTTCTCCATCCATCAAACGGGGACAACAGGGATCCTTACTTCTTAGGATTGCTGGGGTCAAGAAATGCGGCAAGGCTCTAGAAGCCACTCCCAGGGCACCTGGGCCATAAGGAGGTGGTCAGCAAATATTCCATCCCTCCTTCCCCGGAGCCCCTGCCACCCCTTCAAATGGCTGATTCACAGCGACCGGCGCCCAAGGTTAGCCAGTTGATACTGGTGTTGCCTTACAGCTCCCCCTGTCCTCTCCGGACAATGGAAGGGTACGGTCTCATGAACAGATAATAATGATTAGCCATGCCAACAAAAATAAAGGGAAATAGTTTCAAGAAACCAGCCCAGAAACGTAGCGCGATATTGCACTTCTATTTTGGCCCAGGAACTGGCGGTTCTGACCAGGGAGTCATCCGATAATCCCTCTGAGCTGCCTAATGAGGGCAGTGACATCACGGAGGGTGATCAGAGGAGGAGGGCCGGGATGAAAACAGCCCCAGGGTGAGTCCGAGTGGAGAGGCCGGACTCAAGCGACAGCCAGCCTGCCCCCAGCTGCCCGGGTTAATGGAAGTCAGGCGGGCCCCCAACCACGGAGATGGTTTGCTGGAAATATGGGAGCCTTGGGAGGACTCTAATAGGATTTTTGTGGCTCTTGGCTCACTGCTTCTGTACTCCACAGCCAAATGAAGGCCTTTCTCTCTCAGCCCCAACACCCTGCAGACCACTGCCCTGTGGCCTTTCCCAAATGTTCTCCCTCCTGAGGAAAATGGTGGTTTGGACTCAGAATCTGCATGTTGGCTCGTCCCATCACGCACTCCTCAGGTCCCTGCAGCCTGGCGTTGGCCATCAGGCCCACCTCGCGTCATATGGTGTCTTCTCACTGTCCCTCCCCTCATGGTTCCACTACAGATGGGAGGCCACCCCCTTCCCGCTCCCTAGCATGAATGTCACCAGGACTCATGCACAACGCCCACGAGAAGCCGGAGGCTGGGAGCAGGCAGAAGACAGCTTTGGTAGCCAAGTCCCCTAGCCCTGTGGCCTCACAGCTCCGGGTCTCCCACCACCCCTGAGCCTTCATTCTGTCTTCCAAGCTCTTGCGTTAGGTTTAGTCTGTCTTCACATCGTTTTGTCTTCTGGGCCATGTGTGGCTTACTGGCCCCCATTGCGACTAGCTTTGTCCCATTTCCATGCCCTATCTCTCACAGGTTCTCTCTTGGCCAGGGCACTTGCCTCCAGAACCCCAGGCACCCACCCGAGTGTCACGCTTTCTGCCTGAAGCTTGACAGCGCTAACGACACCACAGATCTCTCCGCATTCCTGAAGACTTTCAAGGCCAGCTGTCCCCTCCAGGGTGGCCCACAGGCACATCAAACTTTAAAGATACCACAAAGAACTCAGTCCCTCCCCTAAAACTGCTCGTTTCCCACTGTTACGGGCTGAAATATGTCCCTCCAAAATTCACATGTTGAAGTCGTAACTCTAGTACTTCAGAATTTGCAACTGTACTTGGAGATAAGGTCTTGAAAGAGGTAAGTTCTGAGAAGGCTGTTAAGGTGGGCCCTGATCCAATCTGCCGGGTGTCTTCATAAGAAGATATTAGGATGCACGAAGGCACACCGGGAGACACACGCACAGAGGGACACAGTGACCTGTGGCTACCTGCAAGTCAAGGAGAGAGGGCTCAGAAAAAAACAAACCTACCAACATCTTGGACTTCTAGTCTTATCAGAACTGTGAGAGAACAAGTTTCTGTTGTTTAAGCCATCCAACCTGTGGTATTGTGTACGGCAGCCCAAGCACACTACTATACGCACCTTCATTAATAGCACCACCATCCATTTAGTCCCTGGAGCCAGAAATCTGGAACCTTCCTGACTTCTCCCCCAACCTCAGTGTCACAGCCAGACAATCACAGCTGACTCTATCCTTTCTCTCCCGTTCCCACTTGCCCTGAGTCTCTTCTCACCCCATCCACACTCCTGTCGTTATCTGGGCGGTGGTTAGTAGCTCCCAAGTTTGCAGAATGAAAAGGCCCCTTCCCACCCTCCAGGCCACGAAGGATTCCCACGGTGGGCGTGTGGGGTGCTCGCTACAGACCGAGTCCAACCCTCGGCAGGGACAGAACTCACGGTACACAGGGCAGGTACTAGACCATAATAAGGAGATAAGTGTGGCAAAGGGCTCTGAATCGCAGGCCACCTTCTGGAGATTAAGGGCTGAGTGTGAAGGTTGTATGGAAACACATTTTGCGATGGACAATGTTGTACAAATCCGTGATGAGGGGGCGAGCTCCTCAAAGCCTGATCTCTGAGCCTCGGAAGGGCCCTTCATAACCCTTCCAGGCCTTCACACCCTCTGCCTGTCCCCCTCTGTTCACTCTTCGCCGGTGGCTTGGGCAGGATTTGGTGCTGCGGCTGGTGGAGGACCTATGCTAGCCCTCCCTGGGAGGCTTCCCATCGCTCTGGGCTGGGCTCTCATGGCAACCACAGCTGACTCCGTGGAGTGACAGGTTTGGGTGGTTTTATTTCTCTTTTCTTCACTTTGGTTTTTGATCCTGGGTTTCTGTCTTAATATTCTGGAGAATAATAATATAGTTAATATTATTCTGTCTCCTCGACTCCTTTTTAGAAATGGAAAGTGTGTTCATGTTGCAATAAACCATCTAAGAGTCCCTGCAAAGGCAGGTCAAATTCTTGTGGAAGATATGGCGAAGCTTCGGGAAAGCCTCTTACCTGCGATGTCACAGAGTTCTGCATCTGAGGCATTTGCCAAAGCCTCCTCCAGCTCTGGCTCCAGGGTCACACTTTCCAGCACAGGATCCATTGGCTTCTGCTTGGGGACCCAGATCTTTCCTGCAAAACACGAGCGCCTGTTACAGGGCAGGCGACTCTGCTGGGGCAAACTCTGCTGATGGCCCTAGGAGGACTGTCCCAGAGCGCTGTGGGTCCCTCAGGGCTGAGACTTGCTCCCTTCAGGCTTCTCCCTCTGGGGACCCAATGCCGAACTTCCCCAAGGAACAAGAACCAAAGATCTCCAACAAAGCACTTTCGATCTTGGTCCAACTAGACTGCTCGCTATTAAAAACACTCGTTGCTAATGAAAACAACCTGTAGGCAGGTAAAAGCTCCAAAAGAAAACTTTAATCAAATGTCAGGCTCTGGGATACCCTAACCCAGGGTTCGGATGTGAGAGAAAAATTTAGAAACATTTCTAAACAAAATACACTCAGATTGTTAAAAGAATAGGGAGCAAAAATGTATCCTTGCCTCATGGGACATTATATTTTTAAAGTGTCAGACTCATGACTGGACGAGGGGGCAAAGAGGCACACAAGGACGGTCACTGCACTGGCCACCAATAGGGGGTTGTTGAAGAAATTACGGGACGTCTACACGATGGTGTTCTCACACTGATTATAAAGGATGATGGAGATGTCCGCTTATGAAGAAGGACAAGCAGGACATAAAGTAAGAAAAAGCAAGTCTGTAAAAGAGTACAAACAATGTAATTCAATGTACGAAAACTGCATTCGTTTATCGTTCGTTCATTCATTCATTCATTCATCACACTAGATATTTACCAAGTGCTTCCTAAGTGCCAGGCACCCTTCTAGCAGCCAAGGGGAGGGGGAGCACTGAACCATTCACAATTTAGTGAAAGCAGACAGACAGTAAACAATCATGCAAAGATATCACATGGCGTTAGGCATTGTGGAGGAAAATAAAGCAGAGCAAAAGACTAGGACGTTCCAGGCTGGGGTCCAGTCGAGCTCGGCTTTTTTTGGGTTGGGTGGTCAGGGAAGGCCTCACCGAGATGATGGTCTACGAGCTGGTCTACAGGACAGAGGAAGGAAACATGCCCCAAAGACAAGCTGCAAGGCAAGGATATCTGCCTTCACCGTGGCTGTTAAATGTGCACCGAAAGTTCCAGTCAGAGCAAATGGACAAGAAAAAAAATGGCATCCAGACTGGAAAGGAAGAAGTAACATTATCTCTGATTGTAGCAGACATAATGCAATATGCAGAAACCCCTAAAGATTTGACAATGCGCTGTTAGGACGGATAGGATAAACGCTGCTCTGAGCAAGTTACAGAGTAAAACAAGTTCCATGTGCACAAACGGGTGGGGGTTTCTGAATGGCAGCAACCTGAAAGGAAAATTAGAATGGTCATTTCACCTACAGTAGCATCCAGAGGAATAAATGTTTAAGGATAAATTTAACCAATGAGCTGAAGGACTTGTGCAAGGAATGCTAGAAAACGTTGCCAAAAGAAATTAAGGAAAACCTAAATAAATAGAAAAATCCAAGTTCCAAAATATCCCAAGTTCATGGATTGGGAGACAATATTCAGATGGCAATATTGCCCAAAGCAATCTCCAGATTCAAGGCAACTTTTACCAAAATTCCAAAGTCCCCCCCCTTTTTTTTTTTTTGCAAAAATAGAAAAGCCATTTCTCAAATTAATAAGGAAGCACAAGGGGTCCCCCAAAAGGCAAAATAATCTTAACGGGAACAAACCTGGAGGGCTCAGACTTGCTAATGTCAAAACTTACTACAAATTTAAATAGTGTGGCACTGACAAGGATAGACATATTGACAGCGGGATAGGATAGAGAGTCCAGAAATAAACCCACATGTCCATGGAAAATTGATTTTTGACAAGGGTACCAAGACCATTCAAGGAGGGAAAGAATAGTTTCTTCAAGAAGCAGTACTGGGGGTGCCTGGGTGGCTCAGTCAGCTGAGCATCCGATTCTTGGTTTTGGATCAGGTCATGATCTCAGCATCATGAGATCAAGTCCCTTGTCAGGCTCCACACTCAGTGTGGAGTCTGCGTAAGATTCTTGCTGCCTCTCCCTCTGCTGCTCCCCACTGTACTCTCTCACTCACTCTCTCTCTAAAATAAACAAACAAATAAATAAATAAATAAAATGTATGTTTTTAAAAAAAAGAAGTACTGGGCCTGGACATCCATACACAAAGGATGAAGTTGCACCCCTATCTCACACCATATACAAAAAAATGAACTGAAAATGGATCGACTTGAATATAATAGTTAAAACTATAAAACCCTTAGAAGAAGAAAAACATATAATCTACACATAAGATCTTCATGACTTTAGATTTTGCAACATATTCTTACTCTTTTTTTAAAAATATTTATTTATTTATTTGACAGAAATCACAAGTAGGCAGAGAGGCAGGCAGAGAGAGGAGGAAGCAGACTCCCCGCGGAACAGAGAGCCTGATGCGGGGCTCGATCCCAGGACCCTGAGATCATGACCTGAGCTGAAGGCAGAGGCTTTAACCCGCTGAGCCACCCAGGCGCCCCTGCAACATATTCTTAGATATGACAACAAAAATTTAAAAATTGGTCAAATGGATTTTATCCAAATTTAACATCATTGTCCCTCAAAGGACATTATTGAGAAAGTAAAAAGACAACATACTGAAATCACATATCTGATATGGTCCAGAATCCAGAATATGTATAAAATATTTTTTACAACTTAACAATGAAAAGAAAAACAACCCAACTTAAAAATGGACAAAGAACTTAAAAATATTTCTTCAAAAGCAGCCACTCTGGAAAAACAGGATGGAGGTTCCTCAAAAAGTTGGAAATAGAGCTTCCCTATGACCCAGCAATTGCCCTAGTGGGTATTTACCCTAAAGATACAAATGTAGTGATCCGAAGGGGCACGTGTACCCCAGTGTTCATAGTAGCGATGTCCACAATAGCCAAACCATGGAAAGAGTCTAGATGTCTATCAACAGAGGAATGGATAAAGAAGATGTCATACACACACACACACACACACACACACACACACACACACACTGGAATACTATGCAGCCATCAAAAACACCAAAACCTTTCCTTTGCAGTGATGTGGATGCAACTAGAGGGTATTATCCTAAGTGAAGTAAGTCAATCAGAGAAAGACAATTATCATAAGATCTCACTGATATGAGGAATTTGAGAAATAAGGCAGAGGATCATAGGGGAAGGAGAGAAAAATGAAACAAGAGGAAACAGAGAGGGAGACAAAATATAAGAGACTCTTAATCTTGGGAAACAAACTGAAGGTTGCTGGAGAGGAGGTGGGTGGGAGGGATGGGGTGGCTGGGTTATGGACATTGGGGATGGTATGTGCTATGGTGAGTGCTGTGAATTGTGTAAGACTGTTGAATCACAGACCTGTACCCCTGAAACAAATAATATATTATGTGTTAATAAAAAAGATACTTTTCCTCAAAGAGGATATACATATGGCCAATAAGCACCTGCACAGATGCTCCGCATCACTGTTCATTAGGGAAATGCAGATCAAAATCACGGTGAGATGCCACTTCACACCCACGAGGACGGCTACAGTAAAAACCAAAATGGAGAATAACAAATGTTGGCGAAGATGTGGGGAAACTGGAAACTTTTTGATTGCTGGTGACTGTGTAAAGTGGCACAAACATGGAATTACCACTTGATCCAGGAATTCCACTCCTGGGATTATAAGCCCCAAAGACTTGAAAACAGGTACTCAAAAAACTACCTGTACAGGAATGTTCATAGTAACACTAATCACAGTAGCCAAAAGGTGGAAACAACCAAAATGTTCATCAGTAAGTAGATGAATGGATAAATGAATTGTGTCATATTGTTCCGTCATAGAAGGGAACGAGTGAGTGTCAAAAACAACATGCTAAGTGAAAAAACCCAGGCATGTAAAGTCACATAGTTTATGATTTAATTCATAGGAACTATCCAGAAGAGGTAAAGTCACAGAAACAGATCAGTGGTTGCCAGGGGCTGGGGACAGCAGGGACTGGGGAGTAACAGGTTATGGGGCACAGGGTTTTATCTTGGAGTGATGAAAATGTTTTGGATCTATATAGAGGTGGGGGTTGCACAGTACTGTGGATGCACTGAACACCACTGAATTGTTCACTTTACAATGGTTAATTTTATGTTACGTGAATTTTATTGTTTTACTTCAATTAAAAAAAAAGTTCACTTTGGTTATTGATTGAGAATTGCCTGAAATGGGGCAAGTGGGGGAGCCCAGACCTGGTGAAACTGGAAAAGGACAAAACATGCACAGAAAACAAAACAGTTAAAAAGAAAATCTGCTGTAAAAATGACTGATGTAATAAGTAGGTTGGCCCTTCAATAAATGTGTCAGACCTGTGGTTTCTTACACCCCTGTGGCATGTGCCTCCAGCAGGGGCAGTGGCTCTAAGACACAAGAGGGGGTCTGGACTTCCTCCTTTCCTTCATCTTACTAGTTGGAACGTGGATGTGATGGCTGGAGTTTCAGCAGCCAATATGGACCACGATAACAAGGACATACTGCAGGGATGGCAGAATAAAAATCTGGAGAAGGTCTTGATTGCTAATCTCAAGGAAGATGCCCAACCAGCCCAGAATGCCTAACCCTGTAGCTAAGCAAAAGAAAGTTAAAACTTTTCCTTGATTAAATCTCTCTTATTTTACTTTTCTCCTCCACACGTGTAGTCAAATCTAATCTGCATGAAGAATTCAGTATAATTCTGCCTTAAAAATATCCTGCATGAAGCTTTATTCTGATCTCCCAGTTGAGCGAGAGTGAATGAAAGTTCAGATTCCTTAGGACTTCGTGCCAGTTTATGGCTCCATTGCCTCCTGCTTGGTCTTGCAGAGATGGGGGTGCTGTTTCCCCTCAACCTTGGCTAGTTCTAGGTCTGGCACTGGGTAAAGAGATGCTCAGTGAAGGCTGGACACCATGGCCTTGAGTCTGCCCCATCAAGCCAGCAGGTGTCCTTCCTCAACACTCTGCTGAGACCCTCACTTATTAAAAAACTGTAAAGACTCCAACGGTCATCGCATAAATACTTTCTGATGAGGATGCTGGTGGTAGTGGTGATGATGGTGAGTCTCTGAGACGGGTCACTATGTGCAAACAAATAAGTTCTAGCTGCCCTCCTTGGGTCGGCATGGTTTTTCATGAAGGCCGGCAGGCTCCGGGAGTCTGGAGAGCTGTTCCCGGCTCCATGCCAGGCCAGCATTCCACGGGGGGGGCAGCAGGATGGGTCTGTGTACCGCCCAGATTCCATTTCCCACCCCCACCCCCCATGTCCAGCTCCTTCCCTTGCAGGGTGGTGGGTCCATGGGGCCATGTGATGACTCACCCATAGTCCACCCATGTATGCTCCTGACTCTCGGTGTCCCCATTTTTCAAAGGTGCAAGTGGGACAACGGGAGGCCCCATAAGGCTGCACAAAATCCAGAGATTCTATCCTTGTCTGCTGCGCAGGACTCGCCCCTCGTGGCACAAATGTCTCGCTCAAAAACCTCTCGTGCCCACTCTCTCAGCCGGGCACACCCGGCCCTTATGGTCAAGGCCTCCTCCTCCCGCACCCTCCCCAGCATGCCTCAGACCACACCATCCTCCCGACATTCTGTAACCCAAATGTCCCTTGGGCTTGTCTGACCTTCCCAGGTTTCTGTAGAATCTGAACTAAGCTCCGAGTCCAGGGTTTGTGATGGCGCGACCTCCTCCCCATGAGGCCCCCCTGCTTGCTTTTTTATTTGATTATTTATCCCACAACAGGGACACCGAGACAAATGCTATAGACTTGGACTCTGGGCTCAGCACTTTTATAGTCTGGGGGGGCGGGGAGAATGGAGGAAACTGCAAACAAGCAATTACACAATGAAGTAATTGATCAGAATTAACGGTGTCATTCAATCCAACGCTTATCGGGTGCTTTCCACGTGTTAATGTTTATTAGGTGTAGATGTCACGACGAGCCAGACAGATGTGGTCCTTGTAGCTGTGGGACTTATAGTGTGAGGAAGCAGCCCACAAGACTCCCTGTGGACTTATTTAACTTTAACTCATTCATTCAACAACTCTCTATGAGCCCTGCTGTAGACCAGGCCCTGTGCTGGGTGCCGGGGGTGCTGGGTGAGCAAGACCAGCCTGAGTCCCTGGCCTCGCGGGACTTACAGCCAGTGGGACAGACGAGTGATACATAAGGAGAAAACGATAAAGTGGAAATCACTCTGAAAGACACATATGCAGGCTCCTGAGATGGAGAAGAACCCAGGGAGAGCTGAAGGGACCGCATGGCACTTGATAGGGTGGATGGGAAAGTCTCCCCTAAAAGAGAAGACAGCACAGTTGAGAGCAAATGGATAGTAATAGGTAGGACTTACATAGCATGTGCTATGGGCCAGGTACCTGGTTAAGTGCTTTACAAGTATCTTAACTCAACCTTCCTAACAATCTCACAAGGCTGGTAATAGTACCTTCTTCATCCCCATTTCACAGAGGAGGAAATGGAGACACAGCAGACTGAAAAATGTGCTCAGGCTCACACAGCTAGTAATCCAGGCTGTGTTTCTAACCATTAAGCCTCTTATACAGGGGAGGAAGAGCCAGCCATGAAGACAGCATGGAGCCAGACAGCTGGAGCAGCGGTTCAGGAAGAGGGAATACGTACAAAGGTTCTGAGGTAGAAAAAAGCTTGGGATGTGTGAGGAAAGGAAGGAGGGTGTGGGGAAGCAATGGGGTGAGCAAAGGTAAACATAATCCAAGAGGACAGCAGAAGGGTTTGGAGTACAAGGGGCAGTCCTGGAAGGGTTGGACAGTCAGGGAATGCTCTCTGTTTCCCAGTCTTCTAGATGACTTGCCTTCTGCTGGGGCAGAGAATCTTAGAAGGACAGATAGAGAAGCACTGGGGAACGAGCATGGACAGTGAGGGCAGAGGGAGGTGACCTTGTTCCCAGTTTGCACAGCACAGGCCTTGCACAGGCCTTATGTCCTGATGTCATGACTAATAGTTTTCACTTTCATTTTCAAAGGTGTCTACATTTGTATGAAAAACAATCAGGACACCCTGGCTAAAGGGGATTTAGGGGAAAGTTTTGCTGGTCTGGGTATGTAACACGCTTTCCTTAGTTTACCCAAAACTTCATGAAATCTACATTATGTGTCGATGCCCTTGGTGTTGGGTTTGTGAATTTGGGCCGGGCAGGCATGAGGGCAAGGAGGCCCAGTCACACGAGGCTCAGCACAGGGCCTGCATACAGGTGGCACTTGACAGTGATGCATGGGGAGTGATGCAATCATAAGAGCAACAGTATTCAGTACCTCTCTTTTCCCCTGTGTAGGGGACCAGATCTTCTCGGTCTTTAAACTCCTTTGCTTGCTTTTCCAAGTGATCCAAGAGCTCCTCCCTTTTAAAGGGGCCTGTGGGCGCCTTGGTGGTCTGATCCTTCTGCCTCAGGCCTGCAGGCAGCAGTGCATTCTATAGTGGAGGTTGTGGGACCGGGTGACAGAGAGAGAGAGAGAGGGAGAGGGAGAGAGAACGAGATAAAGAGAAAGAGAGTGGTCAGCAGCTGAAGACTTGCATTTCTCCCCAAATTCTTCTTGGACCCATACAACCTCAGAGCCCATCAAATCAATCCAGGTTGCTCATTTCCATGTGAGGGATCTGACACCCAGGAAGGGCAGGGACTTGTCCAAGGTCACCCACCAGATGAGGGCCATAGCTAGGCTAGGACCCAGGTCATCATTGTCTAGAGTCTCTAAGCCTTCGATGGTTCTGAAGGCAAGGAGGTGAGGAGGAAGCCGACACAGGGCTTGGCGTAAAGGGGCCCTCTAAGAATGTGAATATGATTATGTTGGCATTTGGATGCAGGATAATTACAGCTATTGTACCTATAGTGGTTGAGGTGAGAAGCAGCCCGAGGGCCTTGAGTTAGGTCCCTGAATGCAGAATCAGGCAAGAAGCAAGAGACTCAATAACCAAGCGGAGAAAGGCTCAGCAGAGCTGTGGTGGGGTGAGGTGTGCTTTTGGGCTGCAGTCCTGGCTGGCCCTCCCGGCTTCTTTCCACCCTGCTGACAGGCCATGCGCAGGCCACTCTGTCTGTTAAATATTTTGAACGTCGCCCTTGGAGATGGGTGTCTCAAGAAAGATAGCATCAGCCTATCCCCGTGTTCCTTCTTCAAACATGGTTAGTCTTCTAGGTGTGGGCTTGCTACCGAAGCAGACTAGAGTCAGAGTAGATCTGAGTCACGTAGGCTTCCCTCACCTCAGCCCTCCCTGTGCCTTAGAGAGTCAAAGAAGTCTGTGGTTGCAAGGATGCTTAGAGATTTTCTAGTGCACACAGCTGCCCTCCAAGAGGAAACTGAGGCCCAGAGCAAGGAAAGATTTGCCCAAGGAGTTTCGGGGATAGATCTAGAACAAAAACCAGGGTCCTTCTTCAGATGCGGGGGAGGAGGGCAGTCTTCACTTCTAGTCATTGCTCTCTCCCCACCCCACTTTCACTCAGGGATGTAGCGGAGGATACTGGGAAGGCAGAGGGGAACAGAATCTCACCCCACTTCTTGCAGCACCCCCCAAACCAGCTAAGCTAGAGAGCCTTCCCACCTCCAATCTCAGTACCATCAAAATGCATAGCTTTGGCCACTCCCACACAGTCTGGATCCTTTGGAAAGCCCCCTCTGGGAGGGGATGGGGATGACATCAGGTATATGAAGACAGCTGTGGGCCTGGCCACCGAGAGCGAAATCTCAGGAAGAAAAGACCACTGCTTTATTTTAGTATGATTTTTCACGAGAAGGTTTACCACCATTTACCACAGCGGGGCTGCTCCCCTCGGAGCCCTGAGTGCAAATGGACCTGGACCATGAGTCGGCAAAGACATTTGGGAGTTGGAACATGTTACGAAAGGATGGCCAGTAGGTAGAAAATCAAGCCATGACTGATTTGGGGGTGAGCATCAAGAAGATAAATGATGCCACAGACACCCCAGTTTCCCTGAAGCAGCCATCCTCAGGTACTGTCCACCATGACACACTGGATGATGTGTGTCATGGATGGATGAGGCCCACAGGGGAAGCAACTTCCATGGGCATGGCCCGGGCAAGATGGGGTTTGCTGTGGCCAGCTGCATGTCCATGCCTTCTCTCCCATGGTGGGGCACTCATGGGGACTCGAGTGAGAGAGAGAACCACCTAACTGTCCCATAAACCTCTGTCTGTGATTACCCACTGGGAGCAAACCAGATTCTCTGTGACATGCCTGCAGCTCACAGTTGACCACCCCGACAGGCTTACGCCCTGGCCTGACATGGGCTGACTCCAGCTGTACAAGCATGGGCAGGTTGCCTCGTCTCACGGGGCCTCAGTTTCTAAGGCTATAAAATGTGAATAATCCGCTCTCTCAGGCTTGTTGGGCTAATGCAGGAAGAGTGCTTAGCCCACCGCCCAGCACTCACAGATTGCTACTTCTGGTCAGATGGAATTCATTTTAACAGGAGATGGTTACCCAAACATGTATGTCGAAATGGAGATGTATTATCCAAATAGATCTCAAAATTCAAAAAATGAAGATACGCAAATATAAAGCACTGAAAGCAAGCGTTTTCCCAATGATCCCCACAGTGGAAGACCTGATAGGTTGTCGTCACTGTAAAGGGTTTTGACAGCTGCTGTAAGGTGCTGGGGCACGTGCTGGCCCTTAAAAGCTCAGAGATGGGAGAAACCCGCAAGGCTAGAACTGAGGGGGAAAGGGCTTGCAAACTCACATCTCTTTTGGAATGTATCTGATACCGGCCACTGCTTTGGTTAAAGTAGGAATTCTTAACCTTGGCACAATTAACATTTGGGGCTGGATGATTCCTTGTGGTGGGGGCTGTTCTAGGCATTGTCAACTATTGGCCAGCATCTGTGTCCTTGACCTAATGGATGCTGGTCGCACCTCATCTCCAAGTTGTGACAACCGAAAATATCTCCAAACATTGCCAGATGCCCCCCGGGGGTGGAGGCCAAAATCACCCCTAACTGAGAACTACTACTAAATTGAAGCCCATATCATCACAATAGGGGAATGAAGATCTTTTTAATGTACTTTAAAAATATTACTTATGCATCAGGTTAAAGTATGGTTTCATTTATTTAAATCTTCACTGAAAGCAGTTGATTTTTTTAAGAAACAAAAACATCAAAGGCCATTTCTAACTTCGTTTATTGGACTTTTAAAGTAAATATTAAGACTATAACCTCTTTAGGGGTTAAAGTTTTTTTTCCCATTAAGTGATACACTTAATAAAACACAACATTATATTCAATTAAAACCAAAGACTGTTGCTTATTTCTTAAACTCCTGGTTATTTATCATTTTAACTTGTTTTCAAAAATGGCACATGATCTCACATAATACATAAAAATTAACTTCAAGTGTATCAAAGATCTAAATATAAGAGCTAAGACTACAAAACTTTTAGAAGAAAATAAGCATAAATCTCTGTGACCCTAGATTGGGCAATGGTTTCTTGGATATGGTACTAAAACAATAAGCAACAAAAGAAAAAACGGATAAAATGACTTCATCGAAAATAAAAATGTTTATGCTTCAAAGGAGCCTAGCAAGAATGTGAAACCCACAATTTGAGAGAAAATTTTTGCAGATCATCTATCTGATAAGGGTATAGTATTCAGAATATATAAAGATCTCTTATAATTCAAAATATAAGACAAGTAACCCAGTTTAAAGATGGGCAAATGATCTGAATAGACGTTTCTCCAAGGAAGACATAAAAACGGCCAATGCACATATGAAAAGATGCTCAACATTAGCCATTAAGGAAATGCAAGTCAAACCTAGAATGAGACACTACTTCACACCTGCCAGTGTGGTTAGAATAAAAAAGACAGATAGTCACAAGTGTTGGTGGGAATAGTAGCCCAGTAGCATTTTCAGAGTAGCCAAAAACTTGAAACAACTCAAATGTCCATCAAATGATGGGTGCATAAACAGAATATGGTACAGCCATACAACAGAGCGCTAGTTGGGGATAAAAAGAAACATAGCAGTGATACATGTTACAACATAGGCAAAACCTTGAACACATCGTGTTAAGTGCAAGAAGACAGGCGAAGGACTACAATATCGGAATCCATTCATATGAAGCTTCAGATCTGCAGAGACAGAAAGTAGATGAGTGGCTGCCTCGAGCTGGGGAGGCTGGAGAGAAATAGGGGTTTCTTTATTAGGCGATGAAAATGTTCTAATGTTGATTGTGTGAGGTTGTACAACTCTGTGACTATACTAAAAAAAAAAAAAAAACAAGACCCACTGCATTGTATGCTTTAAGTGGATGAATTTCACGGTATGTGAATTATATCTCAAATAAAGCTATTATTTAAAATGGCATATGTTGGGGAGCCTGGCTGGCTCAGTCAGTTAAGTAGCCAACCCTCGATCTCAGCTCAGATTTTGATCTCAGAGTCGTGAGTTCAATCCCCACATGGGGCTCTATGCTGAGTGTGGAGGCTACTTAAAAAAAAAAAAAGGCATATGTTATCTAGGGGAAAATTATAAAAATGGCTGATGCAGGAACTAAACCATCAGGGACCGCCAGGGACAGAAAGCTCTTTGTGAGCCTGTGGCTGGTAGCGATGGTGAGATTGGCCAGAGCTGGCCAAATTTAAAATGGTGTCCTGTTTGATGATGTGGTGAGCCTCACTGTGTAAATTAGTTACGGAGAAGTTCAATGGGTGAGAAAATACTGCCTTGGATCTCTCAGAAGTCTTAGAACCTAAAACCAAGTCTCAGATACAGGCTACCCCACTGGTGAGGAAAAGAGCTCCCACAACCATTTAGTTGGTGGTTCTGACCAGGAGAACACCAGGTGAACACGTATGAGTGGACATGTCTCTTTCATTCCCATATTCCCTGGTCATTCAACACACACCCCATGTGTCCAGGCAGTGTGCTAACAGGCAGGGCCAGGACCCCGCAAAGAGATCTCTAATTTGGAGCAACTGGGGAGAGGGGAGGTCAATGGAGGAAGTGGAGTAGAATGAGAGCAGAGTGTCCATTACTGCCTGCATGGAGAACGCTGCATTGTTTTCGTTTTTTGAGTTAATTAAGATCCTAAATGGGGATCGGCTCCACTGACCAGCAAACCATAGTCCATGGCTAGTCATTCCGTTGCAGGTAAAGGTTGTCTACTTCCACGGTGCCCGTGGTCATCGGAACCTCTAACCTTGAAGGAACCTGTCTTGTTCTCCTGATCTTCAAGTGTGTGCAGGGGAATCTGCTGGGCACGTCCTTCTCTGTGGTTAGTTCTAAGGGAAGCATCGGTCTGGCTCCCCCAGGCCACACATCAGTGGTACATTGAGGAGGACAGTTTCTGACAGGCGTATGCCACACATGCGTCTTCCCTCCAAAGACAGGTTGGTGAGGGGTGAGGTTTGCTTTGGGAGGATGAGCTCAGTCCCTAGGACTCAGAGCTTGTA